TAGATAACAACAAGAGAAGATATCAGTTCAAAACAGGCAACAAGTATCAAAACAGACCTGGAGCCTGAAGCATTTCGACCAAATCTTAGCGATCCCAGTGAATTACTACAGCCAGAACAAATTGAAAAGGTATTAACTTACATATGTCATTTTTTAGTATTGTACATTGAGTCACAAGTGCTATGATCATAGTGTAAAACACACCAGTAGAAGGACCTTGTATGATACGAAATGCATAAGCACAACACAGTTCATAGCTAAAATGTTGTGCTTTTTTCTTATCATAACTTTCAGTACACTATGACAACACTAGTCTGTGTCTTTGCAGCTATTTTATTTTTCCTGGAAAACAGCTTGGCTCTCACTGCAGTTCTTGATTTCCAGTGCAAAGTCAACTGAATAAATGTGTTTATTGAAGGTTTGGATCAAGGCTGATAACGTTCAAAGGCACAGGAACAGGAGAACAAACATCCGTTACCCTTCAGCTTGTTACCTGTTGACTCAGTGATCTAGTTCCCCAGTACTGAAACATAGTATTGTTATGCAAGAATAACTACATGGATTTACTGTCTTTAGATAAACCTTTTAGAGACCAAACACAGGTTCTTCAGTTGGTCAATCATCATCTTCTGCAGGTCACTGGGAGAGCTAGGATAGATATAAACTATACATGTAAAACTTCAGGGTTGGTCTGCAGTTTTAAACTAGCTTTTAAGGCGACTTGTAGTAGCTCAGAAGGACATAATCAGCTTTCATTTATATGTAATATATTCTTAACAATAGTAAAAAAAAAAACGGTATTTAATAAGACGGTTGCTGTTATCTTGTGAACAGCTCACAAAGTCTCTTCCACCGCGGACCATTGGATATCCATGGACTCTTGTCTACAGTACTGCAAAGCATGGCATGAGCTTGAAGACTTTGTATCGAACTATGCTGGGATTAGACACACCTGTGCTGTTGGTTATCAAGGACAGTGATGGACAGGTAGGAAAATGTTTGCGTAAAGGTAGGGCACCCATCAAGAAAAATGTTTGAGGGGTATAAAGGAATAGCTGACACTTCAATCCATCATGGCAGGGAAGATGGTTTTCCCCTTGGTAGTTATGCAGAGGCTTTTAAAAACATGTTTCACTGTCGAGCAATCCTCTGACACGCTACGCTTCCAGGAAATACTTTAATGATAAAAGCTCACTGTCACGATGTGTGGGTCTCATAATACCCACTTACTGAATTCACTTTTAACACACTTTTTTTAATGCACTTAAAGCACTAGAATTATAGTCTCTAAAACTTTTTGATTCTGGAAGATCTTATTAAGTTGGAATGTCATTGCCAGCTGCAGCCAGTGCTGCTAGGTACATTCTGTTGGCTGCCGCCAACATCTCTCTCCTGTTCCAGGGCTGTGGTATCTTTGGTGCTTCATGAATTTTTGTCATTCAGTCTCTGTAGTTGTGCTCTGTTCTCCTTTGACTGGGGTATGAATTCCAGAAAGTGGATCACATTTCACCATATGAATAGCAAACATCCTCTCTTGAGTGTTCTAGTAACAGGTGAACATTACAAGCAACATGAAACTTGGATTCTTTCTTTTTGAAACTTCTGTGCTCTCTTGTGGAAGCAAAATACTACTGTCATGAAGAACTGACAGAACCATTACAAGATCTGTAGCATTTACTTCGCTTATCTGTCCCAGTTTGGTAACCACTGTTTTTATTTTCAGGAAGCGTGGGCTCTCATATCACCTCATATCATTCAGGGGGTCTGAAAACTGTAAATGAAGGGTATGTTTTCTAATTCAAGTCACAACTTGTTTTTTCCTTGTGTTGCCTGCCTATGAGATCCCTTAAAAAGAATAATCCCTTCTAAATATCTGCTGGAAAAGCACTCTTTC